TCTTTAAATACTGTCATTACTTCACAGTTATGCACATGGCAGTAGAACCTGTAATAAATTAAATTACAAAAAAGATGTTGAGCATCTATTAAACTCTTGTAATCTTTGTTTCCTTTGCACAGGCCCTCTTGCCCTGAACAGAGTCCCCGTGCGCAGGGCCCACCAGAAGTTTGTGATTGCCACAAACACCAAAATTGACATCTCTGGTATGAAGATCCCCAAAACCCTCAACGATGCCTACTTCAAGAAGAAGAAGCTGAGGAGGCCACGTCACCAGGAGGGAGAAATCTTTGATACAGAAAAAGAGGTAATATATATATATTTTTTTTTTCTGAATTTTTACTGTACTGAAAATGAGCTTTTGGATTAAAAACGACTGACTCGTTGGTTTTCTTCACGTACAGAAATTCCAGCTGACAGAGCAGAGGAAGGAGGACCAGAAAGCCGTTGATTCTCAGCTGTTGCCCCTTATCAAGAAAGTACCTCAGCTGCAAGGGTACCTGCGCTCTTCCTTCTTCCTGTCTAATGGCGTCTACCCTCACAAGCTGGTTTTCTAAATGTGTTGAAATAAACAGTGACCGCTTCATGCCATGTCTCATCTGGTTTTTACTTAAATTCTTTGCATATGGTCCTTAATAATTAACCTGGCCAATTCAGTAGCACATTGTAATATACATGTCCATCTATATGGGTCAACTATCCAAAGCAACAAAGGGTGGAGAAGTATCAGAAGTGATGTGATTTTAAAAACATAGTAGCAACAATGAAAGCGAATGTTTACCAAGGTGGTTGAGGCCAGCTATGTTTGTGGTTTGGAGACAGACAAACACTGAAGACAGGAGATGAGGTTGATGAATAGGATTAGGGGTGAGTTCAACCTATGGACAACTCATGTTGATTGGCTATGAGGTGAGATCAAGATGATATGGATGAGCAGAGAAGTGTTCTAGCTGTACTCTTAAGGGGTCACTACAGTGGATAATCTCTCCATATAGCCTTTTGCCTTTTTGTTTTGCGTGCACTTTTCATCCTCCTTGGTCTCATGTTTGGCACAAATTTAACAATATATTCTCTCTCTCCTGGCATTAATGTCTTGCCTCTTATGTTCTCCAAACTATTCACCCTGTCTTGTATATGATACACCCCTCCTTCAATCTTCTGGTTGCTCTCCTGACCAGGAAAAAATCTTCACCTGCAACTCACCAGAATTTGAAGCTTGAGCCTACAGGGGTGTGGAAACTCCAGACCACAAGGGCTGGTGCCGTACAGGTTTTAGATCTCAACACATTTGAATCAAATGATTAGTTCATTACCAGGCCTCTGGGGAACTTCGAGACATGTTGAGGAGGTGATTTTACCATTTAAATCAGCTGTGTTGGATCAAGGACACGTCTAAAACCTGCAGGACACAGACCCTAAAGGCCTGGAGTTTGACACCTGTGAGCTACCAGGTGAGTGGAAGGACAAAGAGGTCAATGAAAAGGGAGGATTCAGGATCAACTGATTAAGCCATACTAAGAGCTTTATGAAGAAGATACGTTTTAAGCCTAATCTAAAAAGTAAAGATGGTGTTTGTCTTTCTAATTCCAAACTAAGTTGGTTCCACGAGCTGAAGGCTCTGTTTGGGATGCTGAACAAATGTTAAAAAGCAATTCTACATATGAACATTTGAGGACATAATGATCAAAGTCATGGGTGCGGTCAAGGTAATGTTACTTAAAGTAAATGTAGACATTTCTAAGACTTTTTATGACTTAGTACAATAGCCTCACTTTTGTGTCAATTTAGAATAAAACCCTAAAAACACATGTACTTCAATTTGAAACATCTGGCTTTATGATTAAAGCTAGGCGTCACCTGAATAGTAATGGATATATATGCAATGTTTTCCCGCTTTATCCAAGGATAATGCATTGGAACAGAACCCTGTGACTCATCATTTAATGGATTTAATGAACTGAAAGACGCTTTGTCATATCAAGACCTGAGGAAGCACAGATTGGAAACCGCTCATCCTGTACAAATGTAACCCCATTACACCATCCTGGAAAGAGACTGGGAGTGGCACAAGTCATGATCATCTTGTTGATGGCGGGGTTATAGATGTGGCCTCAGTATGCAAGATAGTCACATTAACCAATCTGAAAACTGAAATTGAGTGAAATGACCACAGCAGGCATTGGACCCAAACAGCTTAACAGCTATACTTTAATTAAAAAAATGACATGTCTAATGTAACAAGACAAAAATAAATACAAGTGTTTCATCTCTTTAACATGGCCACGTTTTAGTTTTTAGTTTGTTTTTTTTGTTTTAAATCTTCAAAAACAACAAAGTAGAAAGCAGCACAGAAAAAGGCAGCGGCCCCTTGCCAAGGAATGATAAGTGCCTTTTGTGGAGTCAGTCCGTATTGTATATGGTCAGCTGGTGTCGGGAAAACGCTTTCCCCTCCCCTCTCAGCCAGACTTAAACAGCAGAATGGCCACCTGACCCAAGTAGAAGTAAATGAAATGCTTCGTCTCATGAGTCACGTAACTGCCAAAGTTCCTCCCAACGATGCAGTGCCAGGTTGGGTTATACTTCTTGTCAAACTCCTGAGTGGAACAAAAAATAAAAAAATTTTTTTTTTTTTAAAAAGTGCACAAATGTTAAGCGGGTAAGACAATGCCTGCAAATCCTATATAAGACAAGGTGATGGTCAAAAGTCTTGTTTTTTTCCCCCCTCTCAAACAGGTGAAGATTTCTTGCACTGATTACATTGTAGTAAAAATTATCTGACCAGATCATGAACCATATTTTCAGATTATTCTTAAAAAAAAAAAAAAAAAAATCAAGAAATCCAATTTAAGCCTCCCCCCCAATCATTGGGCAGGGGTAACGGAAAGCACTGAATTTGGAGAAATACACTGGGTGGCCTAGTGTGACAGCTAAGTTTAGATGACATTTTCCACCCATTCAAGGTAAAATATCTGGTCAGATACAAACATATACAAAAAGAGCTGCAAGAAATCACTGATCCCAAATTCCTTATGATATTGGTTTCTTTCCCTACACCACAGAGCTAAAGAATGTGGGCATGAGGCTTCTGAAGGACAGACAGTTCGAGAGGAACAGGTTTCCTCAGGAAGAGAGGAAACAATTGCAAATACCAGGCAGGGTATGTAACTTGCAATGATGCACAGGATGGTTGAGTGCAAAAATAGCCTCAGTCTTCCAGATTTTGCCTGCATGCTTAAGTACAGCCTAGTTTGTGCTTTTTAAAAATGTTTTCTGTTTAGCTTTACCTTTTTAATATATGCAGCGATGTCTTTCTCGATATTGTACTTCTCCAGGGCCTGAGTGGCACACTCCACGGCGTCCTGCTGCATGTCCTCCGACATGTCGGCATTTTTGATCACTGCCTTTCTGTCAGACATGGTTGCCCTGGGAAACCAAAACACAGCGGTGAATTCATCATCCTCACAGGCACACTGGCACGCACACAATACCGCTGACTGGAGAGCCTGAGCATCCTAAGAGTCCTCATCATTGTCTGACTCAAGCCTTTAACTGCTTCAAGACTAGCGACAGAATAAGAAGGGGAAAAACGCCTATTTTAGTGACGACGCCGGTATTACATAATACCTGATACATAATATTTGAGCTAGCTTTTTCTACGAGTGTTGCATAACTTCAATCAGCTGCAGGCTCGCTGGACGCGCGCTCTGCGTAGTTTCTATGGATACGCAGGACATTGCGATTATATAGTCTCACATTTTCCGAGATTTCAGCCACAAGCCTGTGAAATCAGACTGCACAAATTAAACCACATTGCTTCAACTGCCCTACGTTAGAAAACAGTGAGAATGGACGCCTGTCGCTATCTACTTCGGTGCATAAGTTATCAAAATAATACATCCACAGCTCCCGTTAAAACGTAACGTTTGTCAAAAACAGTACTTAATCTGAAGTAAGGTGTCAACAGGAGAGTGGTTTCCTAGCAAACACATGGCCACATGCACAAGCGATGATGATGCGTTAATTAGCTCAAGCACCATAACTAGCTGATCATTCATCCCGAATAAGAAAAAAGGAACAAACATCAGTTAACGTTACACGCAAACATCACGGCTTCAGTAACATTTGCAAGATATTTAATTAAAATCAAATTTCTGCATGCGAATTGGTTGATTTACCTACTAGTCTCTCGTATACTGTTTCTCTAGTTTTAAAGAGATGACCGCTCCTGAAGTGACAACTCCCGCGAAGTGGTTGACACAAAAGTAACGTGGGTGTGTAGCAGTAAGAGACTGCTGGCTCGACGAGTTCCGATTGGCTGATATTAATGCACAAAGCGCCATCATTGGCTGACTCGGGCCTATCTTGCTGGTATTTCTGCTTGCATTTTATTTCAACCCATCATGCCTTGCGGTTGCTGCTGTTGCCGTGGCAATCGTTGTAAATAACTTATACCACTATTAGGATGTACAACAAATTAATTTACCTCTTTTACAAAAAAAATTCACAATTAAGTTAAAAAGTTGTATTTTTCTGTCGTTTAAATTAATTGTTTTGTAAGAGAAATAAAAAACAAACCAAAAAACTTAATGCCAGAGTACTTGAAATTTCTTTCTAGTCGTCTTATCGTCGTTACGACATTATTTTTAATGCCAGAGTAGCATAAGAAAAATAATATATCTCTAAATTATTCACTCATATTTACATTAACATAATTTAACTTAAAACCTACGAAATAAAAACAAACAAAAAAACAAAAACAAACCTGTTGTATATAAGGGGGAAAAACAAACGAACACAAATAGCCCATAGAAACAGTTTTTGGTAAATGCGACATACCTGGAAAAAGTTGCCTGCAGTAAACAAACCATAATCGTTGAAAATATGGCTTTCAGCTTATATCCCAAGGGTTATGTCATGAATATGGTATATGAACTATTACCTAGTGATTTACATTAGATTTTAAATGTTATAATAAATATAAATAAATAAAAATACAAATATGGTTTTTGTATTGCATTTACTACACTCATACATACAGAAAATGAACAATTTGCATTAACCTCACAGATCCTTTTTTTCTTAAATATTTTCTGACACGTTTGCGTAAACATGTAAAACATATTGTAAGTTGTTAAGTTTTATCTTAATTCAAATATTCAAGTTTTGCATCTTTAGTCTATCCCCTTTCAAAAACAAAGCGTTGAAGATATGATTGTGGTAACCTTCACTACATAGATTTGTTTCACACAAAATAGATTACTCAACTCTACCAGTGCAGTCACACAGCAATGGAGTAAAACAAATATACAAACGAAAACCCCACCAAAACAACTAATTTGTCAAAAGATTTCAATGCCAATTTTGTCCCAAACCAGTTGTATTTGTAAATAACCAGCCTAGCCTGTGAATCATAAATTCCTTGCATGTTCCCTTATAATTTCCAATTGGTCTGCCCAAAGTAGAAAACAAAAATACAATAATATATAAAAAACTATAATTTAAAAACCTTGCACAACTAAAGCAAAGTGTTAAAGAGCACTGTTGTCGAGGGGAATGCTCTGATGACCACAGTCTTCATCGTTTGTGATGCTGAACAAATGTAACAGGAGCCAGTCAACAGTAATTACTTCTTGCAGGTCATTATCCTTTTTTTGGCTTATCAAAAATTAAAAGGTACATATGAGGTAAAATAAAGACATAATAAATTACTAATGAAGATGATTTTAAAAATCTGTTTAAAAACTGATGCAAATGCCTGACTGTGAAGAATTAAACCTCAGGTAATTTTTCTTTCAAAGCATTGTCATGTTTATATCATAATATCATGACTGGGGAAGAAAATTAAAACAAATTAAAATTGTTTCACATTATTTTCTATAAATGTCATGGCTAAGCAGGGATAAGAGTAACACACCAGGAAACATTTATTTTTTTTAGTTCTTTTCTTTTAGGAGAATTGTGGCTTTAATTCCAGATCTAACTGTAAAGCTGTCCTTTGCTTCACTCGCTGCGATCCTTCGGCTCTCTGTATTTGTACTGGATGTAATCAAAGATGTCTTTCTCACTATTCACCAACAGAGGCTCCCCTGCCATACCTACAACAGAAGCACAAAGGAAAACAGCTCATGTTAAAAGCTTATAGTATGAATCACTGGTTGGTGATGAATGATATATATGTTGCTCAGAGCTAGAGAAGAGTTCAGGAAATTCCGTTTTTTTCCTGTTGTTTTAGTCGTTGTTGTTGTTTTTTTGGAACTAACACTCACCAGTGACCCCCAGTGGTCGTATAGTGTACTCGTTGAGAGTGAAGCCCTTCTCCAGTGCGTGGGTCCTCATATTTTTGTTGAAGATGTCACTGCCAGTAAAATACAAAACTCCACAGTAGTACTGATCCTTGGGAATTAACCTTTGAGAATAAATAAAAGACTGTCAGTGAGCAGGAACAAACTACATGTTAAAATATCAAATACAAAAATAGGGTTGCCTCTTTACTGTCTGTGCTGAATAACTGGGAATGCCTGGTACTTGAAAAACAGTACTGGCATTGTTTTAATTACAGCATCACAAATAGATCCCATAAATACACAAAATTAAACATAAGAGCATAGTGCTTAATTATGATTACACATAATCTTGACAAAGAATCCTGAAGCAACAAAATGAATCCCATGAGCCTGTATAAATGTTTCAAATGTAAATGACCAATTTAAAGAAGGGCACCTAATGTCAATACGTCTGTGAAGGTATTCCTCGTCATCCTCATCATTCTGCTGCAGCTGGCAGACTCCCTAGAAAAACAAGATCCAAAACATCATGACCACAGTCATGCGCTACAGCGACTGGGTGCAGTTACAGTACTAACTACATTACAAATCAGTACCTCCTTCAGTAAGACAGAAAATAAACAAGATGCCTCACCATGAACTTGGTGTCTCCTTTGGACAGTGTGTCAGTCACAAACCCGATGGACTCCAAATGCTCAACCACAGCATGAAGGAGTTTTGGCTGCAAAACAGAAACAGAAGAAAAAATAAGATTAAAAAGACATGTCACCCTGTAATTAAACTGAGTGATGGAGTTAAGTCTTACCTGCTTCTCAGTCTGAGAGGTGTAGTTTGGATGGGTCAGCAAAATATCAATATCACCACTCGATGCAGCACCTGGAAGTTATGAACAGTATTAAAAAGGCTCAAGTGGTATTGCAACCTAAAACCTATGGACCAGTAACTTGATAAGAATACCTCTCCTGTAGCTTCCACAGATTGTTCCAATATATTCTTGATCAACTTTCTCCAACTCTCCAAGAATAAGAGTCTGGGTAAATACAAGAAATCACAGTGTAAGGGCAGTCTGTATGAAAAAAAAGCATGTAAAGATATTAGAAATATAAAAATCTTGATCACCTCCATCTTTTCCATTTCAGCTCTTGGAATCCTTTTCTCAAACTCTTCAAAGTACCTAAAGACAGCAAAAAACAACTTTAATATCTGAAACATTTTTTCAAAATATTTAAAATACATCAAACCATGATCTGGATGACCAAGAACCTACAAGACAACATCTGGAGAACATTTAGTCACACTTACTTCAGGCCAATCTGTTGATGATGGTTTAGCTTGCGCTCGATCTTTTTCAAATCTAAAAAACAAACAAAAAAACAAAATCAAGAATCCTTCTCATTGAAATTTATTCTATATTTACTTATTTTTTGGTCTTTGCCTTTTTTTCTGGATTGTAAGTAGAGAGGACAGGAAATTAGAGAGAAAGAGAGGGAAAGAAATGCAGCAAAGGGCCACAGGTCAGCTTGAACCTTGCCTGCTGCGTTCTAGCCATGTGGCGTGTGGTTGCCTGCTCACGGCACTAAGCTAAAAAAAGAAAAAATTATACTAACCACACAAAATATGTATCAATTTTAATTTGAGGCAAATGCTACACAAACCTTCTAAAGTCTTCACCCCTTCTTCAACAAACTTCCTTGCAGCAGCAGGTCTGAAGTGAACATAAAGCACATACAATGTTACAACAGAAAGTGAATAATATACTTGGTATATTTTAATTCTGAATATGAACATATAATTTTTTTTATCATAAGTACAGACTGAACATCCAAACAACATACCCAATTCCAGTAACTCTGGTGAGGAAATTGATGGAAGAGCTAGTGTCATCGTTTCGGATCTGTTGGAAGATATAAATGTAGCGCATCAGTCAGTGTAATAACTCAGTACATATACATAAAAATAACTATTAAAAAAATATTTTTACAGTGTGACATCAGTAATGTGATCTCACATTCTTAGACTCACCTTTTCCAGTTTCCTAAGTTTGCCAGTTTGCAGAAACTCATCAATCTTCTCTGCTATTTTAGCTCCAACACCATCCTGTTGAAATGTGACAACAATCATGAGGCTGCTGCTCAGCAGTGTGATCTGCAGTGATTATGTAAGATGTGCAGAGAAGCTGTTGACAAACAGGCTACAACAGAGGCCATCACATAAACAGCAGCATGAGCACATTAGTGGTAGACAAGATAAATAATGACGGGGGTGCTGCCAGGTTTAACAATGTCATTGTGACAGTGAAAGTGACAGATTTTAAAGCACATGGAGAGGATCAAAGATGATCTCTGATTTGACAACATGCAAAGAGAAATCTGCTGTCCTATATGCCAATTCTTTTGTTAAGAAAGAAGATATTTCTTTCATTTATATTTTTTATCTATCAGTCTGCCTATGACAACATATACATACATACCAGTTTCTTGGCCTCTTCTCCATTTTTGATTTTGTGAGGGTACTTAGAAATCGTAGATGCTGCTTTCCTAAGCACAGAAAAAAGGGACCATGTAAGTCTTAGCAAAAAACATATGTAAAATTGAATTAGGCCACTTTTTCTTTAGGTTAATTTCTTTTAGATCATAAGTGTAAACATGACAATGCTATTCTACTTAGTGTATTGTATATTAAATTAACAATGTATCATGTACACCAAGCCAGTGATACAGCATACAGCAAAAACCTAATCATAAATCCAGAAAGTTTATCCTGCACTCGATGCTTTTCTGGTGGACTAGAACACTAGATCATACTTCTCCTATTATAGTTTATCTTAATTGGCTACCTGCTAAATACAAAATCAAATTTAAAATCCTTTTAAGTCCTGAATGACTGGACTCTAGCCTATTATTTCAGCAGAGTCCTTCACTCTCGGACTGGAGGCTTACTTGGCTTACTGGACCCTAAATAACAAAGTTGTAAAGACTTCAGCCATCAGCCCCTTTCCAGTGGAATCAGCTTCCAGTTTATTACTGAAGAGACAGTCACCCTCTCCACTATAAAACTTCCTTTTTGATAACGACAAGGCCTGCTCTGGGGCTTCCCATGATTCAGTTAACCTCTTTTAACACTTTATGTGTTATATACCACTAATGCATGTTATGATTCCTTTTTTACCACCTCCAAGTTCCTGTTGTTGTAAACAGGTCACTACAGACAGGCTCCCCGAACCTAGTTCTACTGGAGGTCTTTTTGGAGGTCCCCCTGTTAAAAGGGGGTTCTTCCTGTGAAGTGCTGCATATCCGATCATGTGGGGTTCACTCTAATAATGTAGTTTTTAGCAACTAAAAAAAAAAAGGAAAAAAAATAGTTATTTCTCTTAACTCTAAGTGTTTTAAAGAAATTCTAATTCAATAAAATGTTTCTTTTAGCATGACTCTATTCTTAGTCATATAAACGCTGTAATCTTTAATATGGGGGCGTTGTACTAACACCATCATTGATGGCTGAGTGGACGTAATACACTTGAAACGCTTGTTTTATGAAGACCAGTGACTGGGACAGGTTTTCACATAATTATGAACTTACCTGTATGCATTGTATTTGTGTATTGCTCTGTTGACATTTTTCTCGTAGTTGGCCAATTCTGGAAACAGAGGCAGTGTTAGGACAATGCAAGACTTCACATTTCCCTCATGCTAGTTTAATCTTCTGCCAATTCAGCTGAAGGTAGAAGGCATTTAAATGACAAGGCAGATAGCGAGCGAACCAAATCACACGTGTAAGTAATCCAGATAACTAGATCCAACAACTACAACTCCATATTTAAAATATTTTGATACCCGCTACTCGTGCAAAGTTAGTTTACCAGCACGGTGGGTATTTTTATTCAATAACAGAACCCAACTTCCATGCTAGCTACGGTTAGCTGAGTTCAAAAATCTCTTACGTACCGACGAGAAAGTCTGTTATTCCCTCATTTAGCGACTCCTGTGGCGCTTTCCTCTTGCTCATTTTGAATCTGACAGTCTCTCAAATAAACGCTGGAAAGATATATGAGCGTTTATGTAGGCACAAGAGCCTGAAGCTCGTTTTATTTCCAGCTAGCCTCCTACTAGCAGGTTGGCTTAGGCTAGCTCTCACGCCAAACAATGAACGATAATGTAGAGGGGGCGGGGCGTGCGTAAACCGTCATCGTTAGCCACGGCGTTCACATCTGCTTCAACTAGTATAATTATAGTATAAATGTGACACAAAATGAAACGGAACAATCAAAATTTACTGAGTTCTAGTGTGTTTCTCTATTTATTCCTGAAATCAAATTAACTAAAAAAAAAGCTGTAGTGTATTGTTTGGTAGGTTTTAATATTCCACGTTACAAAAATGATGTAAGTACAAACACAATAACTTCACAAAAATGTTCTTTATTATAAATTATTAGCAGTCACAATCATAAGTCATTAGCACATCCATACAAAAGAAATGACATCTCAGCAAATGACACCTAAAGATGCTCCGATAGTAAGTTTGGACAATATCTGCCACTCTTTTCTACATACAAGTGAGCAGCATGTATAAAGGACAAGTTTCACGTAAGAATCGTATCACTTCAATAATATTTTGTTTTTTGTATTTTGTAATAAGCTTACAAAATGATTTAATCACATTTGAAAAAATAAAAATTTCACAACAATCAGCGTAATGTTACCTAATGCAACTAAAAAATGAAAGTTAATCTCAATAAAGCAACACATTTACTTAGCCACTTCCTTCCCTCCTTTTCCTCGTGTGTTAGGAATCTATTTTTACAAAAACTCTGTCTCTGGAGAAAATTTTTATGGCTTCTTCAATTTCAGAAAGCCTACAGTCAAGTTGGGCCCGGCGTGAGCGAATACTCAGACTGTCAGCTTTGAGAGGCAGGGAGAGCAGCTCGGTCACCAGGGAGCGGTGGGCTGAAGAAAAAAAAATGTCAGAAACACATAATTAGTGAGGCAAATACTGATGTTCATTCTGTACTATTTACTGTACTTACTAAGCTGCTGTTATTATGATGGATGGCTGAGCACCGGAGGAAGAAATAATAGGCTTTTCAACAGACTGACAGCCCAGTCTTTTTTTTCCTACAGCAGTGGATTAGTTTGCCATATTTATAGTCCAGATTGTTTGGACTGGGCGAAACAATCGCTGACGAAAAATCAAACCAAGAAAAGAATTTTACTAGAAACAAAATTGTTTCTGCAACTTAAAGGTGGTGATCCAACAACAACTAAGCCTTGATACACGCTTCATAAAAGACTTCCTGGATTTCTCAACACACACTCCAAAGGCTCAGCCACCACATCCCATTACTAGATTTTAGGACTAATGTACAAGCAGTACACACACACAACACTGCCAAGTTAAAAGCACTGTGTAATATCTTTAGAGATCACGGGCATTCCCGTGGCAGTTATCTACATGTATGAATGTAAGGGAGGAATCATACTCTCTTTTAGGGACTTCAGAGTCTCCTGTCTCTCATTCTCAGGCATCAAGGTGTGTCCAGTTGGGACCGTAGGATCAGGAGTATTCCTCCTCCTTTCTTCTTTCTCTTTACGCCACTGCTCCTTCCTTTCCTGAAGGCTATATTAGTGTCAATGTCAAAGGGCAGAGAAAAAAAAAACAAGGGTGTCAGAAAAGTCAAAAGTATCTAGTGGTGAAATATCATGAGCATTAAGCACACTGACACTGAAGGTTTCAATAACACTCACTATTGAGGAACCTGGCCCTTGACTGCACTGGGTACAGGCTTATCTCTGAGGTTTGTCAGTGACTGGGACCGTCGAATCACAGTTTTTCCTGCAGTCCGGGCATTATGTTTTATGAAGTCTATTGTCTGACCTTGAACCTGTAACTGCAATTTAAACAATCTCTAGAAGCATGTTTAAAATGTAGATGTGAACTTCCAATAAAACTTTAGCAATTCTCACTTGCAAGTCCAGGTCCTGTGTAGAGTTGCAGGAGGCCCGACGCTGCTCAGTTACACGTGAAGTTTTGGACTGTGGCCTTTGTGGGGAAGCAGACCCACCATAGGAATGCGCCTTCAGAAAGTTTTGACACTGTGGCTTAACACTTGGACTGGAAACCTTCACAAAAGAAACAGACTGGTCAAAACCTAATGAGGAAAAATGAAGTGCTCACGGATGGGCATCTTTCACAGATATGCTTCTTGCCTGCAGCTGAGCCATCACCCTCGATGGGACATTCTGGTATTTTGAGGCGGTCCAAAGAGCTTTAACTGGAACAGCACGTGATTGTGCTCTCTCAGCCTCCTGCTCTTTGCAACGTTTCTGGATCTCTCGCAGTCGACGGACGTTCTCTTTACCAAAATCATGCATCACTCGCTGTTCTGAGGGTAAGAAAGGCTGTCTTAATTTTCTTTTAACAAATGCAATGATTCAAATTCATTATTTTCATGCTTTCTATAATAAGATGCTAAAAAATACCAAAAGCTAATACATCAGTGTTCAATCTTAATAACTAGTAGTTTAAAAAAAAAAACCCACTTACTCTGTTTTGGAACAGGAGAGATAGAAATACTGTCTATTTTTAGTAATTCCCCTACAACCCCTTTCTGACCTCGTTCCAGGATATGGGTAGCATTGGGGCTGATGCGGGGGTGTTGTGCTGGGGTACGAGCACTGTAGCAACCTGGGTACAACACAGGATCTGGAGCAAGGGGCCCTGAAAGCAGGGCCAAAGTACCATCGTGGTTTCCCTCTAAACGACCCCGAGCTTGAGGAGAAGAGAAAAATAAAATAAACTTGAGCTAGAATTATTAGAGTTTAATATTTGTTGCAGTTTTTAAGTATTTTGGGTAGCTTTAAGCCTTTAATTATAAATATTTAGCTTTCCATTTTAGTTTATTTGAAATTACTGAAATTTTAATATCCAAAGTGGGCCTGGTCATTTCAGTTTAGTTTTTATTAGTTTCAGTGCCATTCCTGTCCTAGAAAACATGCACTAAAAATCCACTGTGTATTTAATTTTGATCATAATTATAGATTTTTTAGTTTTCTTTTCTTAAGTCCAATTTTCATGGTTATTTGGTCTGGATAAACCAAAAATATTGGTTTATCCAGACCAACTCACCCTATGGCTCTTTAACTTTGTCTCCAAACCATTCAGCCTGAGCTGACCCTCTGATGGACTCATTTCTAATAAACAAACATCTTCAGCTGTGCACCCTCGAACTTGGCCTCCTGTCTTTTTGTTAGTGCCACCATCTTCAAAGTACAAATCACAGCAGGTCTCATTACTATCTTATAAACTTCCCTTTTCACTTTAGTTGCCATCCTTCTATCACAACCCCCCAACTCATATCTCAATGCTGCAATATCTAAATAAAGGATTGTGTGAAAAAAAAAAAATATTACACCACAGTCACGTGGCTGCACCCCACCTGAAGCTGGTCGCTTGTAGTACTGGGGAAACAGAGAAGGATCCGGGGGAATTGGCCCAGATATAGACGAAGGTCCCTCACACATCTGAAAAAGACGATGTGAATTATTTGCTAATGTTACTTAAAAACACGTAAGACTGCTGATTTAATTTGGCCTGCACCTTTCTAATAAAAAGTAATTAACCCAACTCATATAGACTATACAGAAGAGCAGCTTCTGTACCTAATTCAGCTGATCGGAATACAGTGATTCTTCAGAATATAGTAGTGGAAATACATGTTCTTCCTCTGTTTCAGGGCTTGCTAAAGGCTAACTATTGCTATGTTAATTACCTCGTTGTAAAGTTATCTCCTCAACACCTTTTCTTTCGACGTATTCAGGATAAGATACAAAACACACACGTGTTTAGTCACGAATAACTTGCAGGTAATCTTAACGTCGCTGCAACCAGCTCCATTTAGGCTAAAGAAGAGACGGTAATCTATTTACCTCTGCCCCCTGTTGTTTATCAGTTGATTGTTTTCACGCACGCTGATGACGCCGGCACTTGTTGCAGTACTCCTCACCATGGCAACGGAGCAGGCGCACACAGAAATAGAGCTGCCGGGCAAATATTATTAATCGAAAAGCGTATACAGCGATCAAATTCCTGAAAGAATAAGACAAATACAAAGCGCTGGGCTTCTTAAAACACAATAGTAACTGTAATCAGAACTAAAACCTCTAAATCCAATGGTTTCTGCAGTTTTAAACCTTTAATCCTGTCGCTTTGTATAAGGAGGTATAGTGACCCTGCGTGTTGTCTTTCAGGATCAGCAGTACTCTCTTCTAATTAATTATCGAGCTACACTCAAATCTTAACAATCCCCCTAATCTTAGCTAATGCAAAAATAAATATAAATATGACCAAATGTCTGTCAGAGCGTGCAGCCTAAGTACACAGGAGGTACCCAGTTTGCCTGACATGCTTACTCAGGGTTTATAAACCCAATCATTCGAAGGGGACATTAGGTAGAGGTCATTGTCATTGACTCCAGAGTGCACTTCTAGTAAATATAGCAGTTTCACAGTTATTATTCTCCCCTTTTTTCCAGCACTACAGAGAATAAAACTTTTCACTAAGGTACTTGTACTGAGAGTATGTTTACCACATTTCTTTGTTACTGGAGTCCATGAACTTTAACAAAAATATGAAAGGTTAGTGTTTGTGGAATTATAGAAACAATTATTCAGTGTAGCAACCCTAATTTTCTAATATAGTATACACTTATATAAACAGAGTACTATAATAAAGCCACATGCCGTTTTCACCAAATATGACATGATTTTCTTCCCTATTTCTTTTTTAGATGTTTTCATTATTATTATTGTTATAATAATAATTGCCAAGAACAGACTAAATTTCGCCAGTATAAAACAAATTATTTGGATGGATAAATGAAACGTTTTGTTGTGATCTCCATTTTATACATGCTCTTTGTGAGTTCCGTGCATGTGCACTGGGTTCTCCTGTAATAATATCCATTTCTCAGTAACAGTATTTTTAGCACCCAGATCTCCATTCTGAAGGTATATACTCAGAAACATATAATCGTGCTTTCTCAGGGAATTTCACAATTAAAGACCACACAGATCACCATGTGTCCAATAGTCTTTAATAAAAGGAAAAACAAAACAAAACATCGTAGCAGTTTGTACTTTGGGTTTTGAATTTTGGGTTTCAGCAGAAAGGGTGGGTGGGGAGT